TTTAGGATCCAGATGTAGACTTTAATATTTTTAGGGTGTAAAATTACACGATAAAGTATACTCTCAGGTATAAAAGATACAATATATAAATAAATGCAATGTTAATATTCAGACTTTGAACGGTTAGGATTTAACCCGATAAGGTAGAAACTCTCTCATGAAGAGAGATCTGCCTTGAGCCTTAGAAAAGACCAACAAATAGAAACCTGACTTAAAAAAAAAACAATCAAACAACAATGCAGCTTACATTAGGTAGGGTGCATTGGGGGTGATGCGTCTTTCCCCTGCACAACTAATCCCTTACTCAGACTCTCGCAGACCATAGGTTCCTATTAACCATAATACTAGGTGGCGACTCCTGAATCTTAATCATAATTTTATAATTAAATCCAAAAAACCTTCTCAACATAACACCCTCATTAGGAGGCACAACAGAAGCCTCCACCGTAGTCAGACGAAATCGCATCCCTCACAACAACTTTTTAATTTTTTTTTTGTTTATATTTGATTTTACTAAGCAAGGCAAAATAACTATGTTATATGATCATCCAAATAAATCCTATCACCATTCCTTATACCTTAATAAGTAACTAACTTGTTTATGAACATATAATTTAATACTCTTTCCAATAATTTGCATTGTAATACATTAATTCTCTATCTATACATATTAGCATGCATTCATGTTAACCATTTATTTACTTAACTTTTTCACATATTATTATATCCTTATATACAACTTAATCATTTATGCACGAACACACCACAATCACACACAATTATATAAGCTTTATTACATTCTATGTTCATCCTCTTTTATTTCAAATGTCATTGACATTATTTTTTTTCCCTTTCATAACACCTAATTTTTATCTCCCTTCCTTTATCATTTTGCATCATTATCAACCTATTCTATCATAATGTATCAATTTCAACAATTTCATATTTTTTTCTAAATTCTCTTCTAAGAAACCTAATTTCATATCTTTTATTTCTTTCCACCCAAACTTGTTTAAACAACTTAGAACTCATTTCCCAACACTAAAATGAACTTTGAAAGCTTAACCTCATGATGTTTTTCCTTCCCTTCAATTTTTCTTCTTTGCCATGACTTACAACCCTTCTCTCTCCCTTCTCCCTCACTTAGTTTTCTTCTTAAATCCTTGCTTGAGAGAGAGATATGTTGTTTTACACTTTTTAGATCCTAGATTCTACACAATTTTTACTCTTTCTCTTAAGGTAAGCTTTTGTTTCAAGCATTTTTTCCTCTCTTTTTTTTCCTCCTTTCTATTTTGTTCCTCTGTTACCTCTGTTATTTGAGTTAAAAGAAGGGAGAATAAATTGTTGGACTTTGTTAGCTCATCAGATTATTTACAAAACTATCATTGATGAATTTTATATTATTTACTATCCAACTATTAACATTTTTTAAAATATCTTCCCAAACTCAAATTGCCTTAAAATTTTAATCAAATGTAAGACTATATGTGATGAGATGCCTTGTGAAATTTCAGTTCGATTTAACAGTTAGATTGAGCGATTTGCTTAATAGTGTGGAACTAGTCAATATGAAAATTTTTTTTTTTATTATTATTTTTTAACATTTAACCATTCATTTTAATTTTTTTTTAGGGTTTCAAATTTTTATATTTTACAATAAATTATTTAGCTTGTTTTGTGCTTAATAGTATTACAAAGACACAAAATGTTAAAAAAAAAAACTAAATGAAGTGTTTCTAGCATAATTTGAAGTGAAGGACTAGAAAGAGAACATTAGGACAAATCATTAGAGCAAAGAAGTATAAATTCTAATTGCTTTATAAATCCAACTTGAACAAGAAATCCTTGTTGTATTAGGATTGGTTAGAGTAAATTTTCCAGATTGGATCTCCATGCACTCTTTGGGTTATCGCTAAAGTTATAAGTGAGATTTTATTATTATTCAAATTGGGATAAAAATATAAACATATCGTGTTTTTTCATCCACATATGATAGGCCTAGTTCAACCAATCAAGATATGATAAAATTTATGCAAAAGTTGACACGATATGAATTGATCAACTTGATATGAGCTCAAAAGTAATTTGAATTACCGGTAAAAATATAGGTTGACTAACAAAAATTCAAGACAATGTTTTTTTTTAATATTGAAATAACAATATATTGGATTAACTTGAGTCAACTCAAGTTAATTTGTTAAATCCACAATCTAGATCACGAGACCATGATAACCCAATATCAAACAAATCAAAATAAATTATGAAGCTTCCAAATCAACCCAATACTAAAAAATGAAATTGAAAAAAAATCATTAAAAAAATAAAAGAATAACTTCAATTAACCTGCCAAACCTGTGTGACTTAATTCATGAAATTGGGATATCCCCTTAGAAAGTAAATAAAAAAATAACATGAGTTAACACTTGAGTCAACTTGCAAAACCCGTAACACAAGTTATAAAACTGAGATAACTCTATATAAAGCAATTTAAAACAAATTATAAAGCCTAATTTCCAATAAACTCATTGTTGAAACAAAAAAAAATCTAAAAATATATGACAAGAAATTGACTCAGGTTAACCTGTAAATCACATGATCTGAGTTATGAGATTAAGATAACTTTCTAAAAAGAAAACTAAAACATATCATGAAGTCTAATTTATAATCAACCTAATATTGAATGATAGAAAAAAAAAAAAACACTACCAATTAAAAAAAAAAAAAGCAATTTGAGTCAATTGGGTTAACTAATGACTTGTTACTTGAGTCATGAGACTGAGATACTTTCATAAAAAGTAAAGTAAAATAAATCATGAAACTTAATTTATAATTAATCAAATGTTGAAGGATAAAATTATAAAAAATCAATTAAAAAAACTCGAGTAAGCCATGTTAACCTGTGACACGGGTCATGCAACCAAGCTAAGCACATAAAAAACAAACCATAAAAAATCATCAAGTTTTTTTTTTAATAAATCAAATATAAAAAAATATTTTTTGTAAAAAAAATATAGATTTCTTAAAAAAGAAACACTAAAGAAAAAAGACACTATTGAATAGTAAAAGCACCATCGTTTTAGTTTTTTCTTTTTTAATACTAACGTATGGTTTAAAAATGTTAAAGATAAAGTTGTGGTTGAATAAAAAATCACGTGCCCATTTTGTTCCTATTAAAATATTAAAACAACTATCATGCCAGGGTGGTTCCTGTCTCTTTGCTTGTCTTTTCTTTCTCCGAATCTGATTCCTTTCGGTGCTTCGTCCCCACCAATAATTTCTTTCTTATGAAATTATATATGATAGAACTGAGCTATGTTAGCTTTATATATAATATAATTATAAATATTATTACAAAATTGATAAATATAAATAAAAATATTGATGCAATTTTTTTATTAGTAAATTAGAGTAAATTTTACCGACAAAGATATTCTCTCATATATACCGAGAGAATTACAATTAAAAAAATTAAAAAAAAAAACAAAAAAATACGATAAAAAAAAATTAAAAAAAAAAAAACAAAAAAATACGATAGGATATCATTTTTATCAATGAAATTACATATTGTTTTAATATCATTAGTAAAATTTATTGATAAACTTATTAATAAATTGTTTAACTTATTCTTGATACTGTTTATCATGTGAATGACCAGTGAAATTACCTATAAAAAAATTTGGTGGTTTTTTTTGGAATTAATTTAAATATTTAAATAACAGAGAACTTTGACCAAAGGAATTATCTACGAACAATTCCTGCAAAATTATACTTTTTTTTTTGTCAATGACCAAATGAATTACCTGCAAAAAATTCCGCTTGGTATTTTATAGAGAATTTTAAAATTATTTATTTTTTAATTATATTGTTAATTATTATTTTTTACAAAAAAAATCATCAACAAGTTAAAAATCAATGGTGTTATTTCTAAAATTATTTTTGTAGTTTTTCATAAAATATTGTAGATTACAACAATTTTTTTCTATATAAGTTTTTATATTTTTTTATTATAAGTTAACAACAATGTATAAGTATACAATAGTCCCACAACAGACATAGCATCTAGAGTGTATTTGTTTACGCAGCTGTGGCTATATTTTATTTAAAACACAGTTTGCAACCGTTTGATAAAAAAAAATTAATTTATTGTGTATGGATCCCACATAATTTTTACTTTTGAAATGCGGTTAATAAAAAGCAAGGAAATCCTGTTTTCATCTACTGTTCATGTTAATTGCACTATTCAAATAAGAGTGCATTTAACATGAACATTGTACATTAGTGTACAGTGCAAGAGAATTACACTGTTCACTTAAAAATAATGAACATTGCAATTCACTTGCATTGTTCACGAGTGAATTGCACTGGTCACGAGTGAATTGCAATTCACTGGCACTGTTTACGCATATTTTTTTTAGTGTTAATTTTATTAATATTTTTTTAAAAAATTAGTTTAAAGTGAATTAAATTTATTTGCACTGTGACATGACTAATATATTTTTTTTGAAAAAACTAGTATAGAGTAAATTAAATTCACTTGCACTGTAATATTAATTTTATGCCTGATAATATTTTATCTTATTTTATTACACACTCAAAAATTATGAAAATTGTAATTCTTATAGGTTGAATTTTATACGTAATGGAATTATAAATAATTTAATGAAATAATAAAAAATATTTTATATAAAGTATTCTTTATTTCATAATATAATATGAGTAATTAATTTTACAATATTTAAATTTAAAACCATCAATATTAATATATATTTTTAAAAATTATTTTATAACTTCAATTACAAAAGCAGTTTTAACCAAACATATTAAATTATTTTTTCTTTAACCTCAATTTCAACCATAGTTTTAATTAAATATCAATTTTTTTAAAAATAATTTTAATTAAAAATAAGTGGGATAAAATAAGTTTTTTTAAACCCAACCACACAATAGCTTCTTGATACCAAACACCCTCCTAGTAGCACTATAAAGCTGAAGCTGGTAGCCTTTCACTCTGCTCGTATACTGAAATGAATAATAAGTTGAGGCTGATGGGCTTGATTCCCTTTTTCCTCTTAATGGTTTTCGTGCTGCCACCTTCGGCAGCATACAAGATCACCAACCCAAGAATCGTATTGCCTGTTCGGTCAAAAGGTTTGGATGCGGATTCAAGGAGCTACGCGGTTGTTTTCGACGCAGGGAGTACAGGTAGCAGAGTACACGTTTTTTGTTTTGATCAAGACTTTGATCTCCTTCCTGTCGGAAACGGCACGGATTTTGAGCTTTTTGCTCAGGTACAGGTCTCCCTTTTTAAATATCCAAGAGCAAGCGACGATGGATCTTGCTAAAGAGTCAATATAAATTATTTTAAAAACTAAATGAGATAATTCATTTCGGTTGTAAAATACAAAAATTTCTCACATTATAAGGTTGATATTCTATATATATATATATATATATTTTATGGTCACAGGTTACGCCAGGTTTGAGTGCATATGCAGAAGACCCTCAGGCTGCGGCTGATTCACTCGTCCCATTGCTCAACGAAGCGGAAAGTGTCGTGCCTGAAGAGTTCAGTCCCAAAACTCCAGTCAGACTTGGGGTTAGTAAACTAGAGCACATTGTCTTCATTTACTTCATTTTAATCTCTTCGTCAGTCCTATTTTAACTGCAAAAATATTTTGTTCACTCTTAATATTTATACGTGGAGTTTAACATTGCAGGCTACCGCTGGGTTGAGGCTGTTGGAAGGAGATTCAGCGGAGAGGATTTTGGAAGCAGTAAATCCATGGACATTATAGTCGTTCTAGTATATTTCTACTTTCATTTTTACCTTAATATAGTCATTTGAACTCTTATGTGTCCAAGGTGAGAGATCTTCTGAGCCATGGCAGCCTGGAGTACGAAGCCGATGATGTCTCTATCCTGACTGGTTCCCAAGAAGGTTACTATATGTGGGTATGTTTCGAACTTAGAATTGCTGTACGCCTGTACCTGTAAGAAAATGGAAAGGTACCGAGAACGTTGTATATTGAAATGATTTTTCAGTTTTATAACTAACTTTCTCTATTTATTATTAATAAATATTTTGTAGATTGCAATAAACTACATAGTCGGAAATCTGGGGAAGCCGTATTCAGAAACAGCAGCAGTAATTGATCAAGGTGGTGGATCTGTTCAAATGGCATATGCCATTTCCAGGGAGAACGCTGAAAAGGCACCAATAGTAGCTGATGGAGAGGCTCCATACGTAGAGAAATTCCTTCTTAGGGGAACTCAATATTACGTTTATGTTCACAGGTTCTCGTCTTCCTCCCTGATCAATTCTCTTAAACTCCTGATAATACATATAGTTAGTGTTGGATTTTCCTGTTGCTCCACATTTTGTCATTTGTGTCAAAAATATTTTCTTGCATTTCTGATACGTACAAGATGAGTAGTAAGTTGATGGATCTTGTATGTACAGTTACTTGAGCTATGGGTTATTGGCGTCTCGGGCAGAAATGCTGAAGGTTTCAGGAAACTCCAGCAACGAGTGCGTAACCACCGGTTATAATGGTATGACAGATGACTCCATCGTATCTCCACAAATGGTTTTAGTATACTCCTCACTCGTTCTCAAGATAAATTAATTTAGCCAACTCATTTTTTTTTTCTATTCTATTTAGTGTTCAATTGTTTAGACTTCTTCCTCTCCAACTTTTCTAATCTTCCTAACCTTTCAGAAAAAAAATTAAAAATTAATTAATGCAAAGTTAATTTCTCTCCCCCCTCCCTTTATTTTAAAATATTTAAAGGTGTTTACAAATATGGAGGGAAGGAATACAAAGCATCATCTTCTCCTACCGGCACAAGCTTCAAAAAATGCAGAAAAGTAGTTCTTAAAGCTCTCAAAATTAATGCCCCATGTAAGTATGTGAATTGCACATTCGGTGGGGTATGGAATGGCGGCGGCGGAGACGGGCAAAACAATTTTTATGCTAGTTCGTTTTTCTTCTCCATGTCTCAAGCGGTACGAATTTATCATCCTAAGAAATTACTTGCAGTTTTTTTAATTTATATATTGACTTTGCAAGCTAATTAGATTTATGGGATTTATAGGCTGGGTTTGTTGATGCCAATGCGCATACAGCCACAGCTAGCGCTGCAGATTTCAAGAAGGCAGCTAAGCGTGCTTGCGGAACAAGATTTGAGGATGCAAGCTCAAGATTTCCAAATGCGCGTGAGAAAGACCTGCCATTCTTGTGTATGGATTTTACCTATGAGTATACTTTGCTTGTCGATGGATATGGTAAGCCTTACAAGCTACTTCTCCTTTGATCAATTGCAAAAACTCATATACACATACATTCGTAGTTAATTAGTTAATTTTTGGTTATTGTTTTTGTCGAAGATTGTCGGAATTAAAACGATATGTCTTCTTATATTCTTAAAACCTATTTAAGTTTTCGTCTCTGTAACTACAACCAACCAACTATATTTTTATTATTTATTTTTGTCGCGAATACAAAATTTTCACTTTTTAGCTCGTTCCGCCATTCTTACAGTGGTAATGTATATACATCCACAGGTCTTCATCCCCGGAAGAACATTTCAGTGGCAGGGCAACTTACTTACGAGAATTCACTTATGGAAGCTGCATGGCCTCTTGGTAGTGCTATAGAGGCGGTGTCACCTAGCAGTGCATCATTTCTGAATTAGTATCATCCTAAAAGTGCATGGTGGCGTTAGCATTGTTCCAAATAATAATTAATAACTCTGGTTTATCTCCATGAAATGGGTTCATTCATAATTAGTTTATTTTCGTACCATATTTGCAGAACTCCCTTTACCGAATAAAATTTTCTCGTTGGTATTCAAATTATTATTCAGTCTATAAGAATTTTACCAATAGATTCATTCATGATACAAATCATTTATGGATAAATTTTTTGTTGGTGATTTTATTTTCATCCATAAAAAAAAAACATTGATAATCTTATAAATAAAAAAATATATACCAAACAAAAATATTTACCCACTTTAATAATTCTATCGGTAAAACATTGATGACATTTATTTTAATTTTATTTCAACCATTTATAAAATACTAATAGAATTATTTTATGGGTGATAATGGTAGTATATGAAGTTAATTGTTTTAAATTATTTGAAATATACTGATGGATTGTGTTCATTGGTATATTCGTCTATAATAATAAAAAAATATTTTTTAAAAAAAACTTTTGAACAAAAAACAAAATAACTAAAAAAATAAATTTGTATAAAATTCATGTATGTAAAATTAAATTTGAATAATAGAAAATCTAAATATTTATTATAAATTTATATGTTCAAATAAAATTAAACTAGAACAATGGTGGCACTGGAGGAGGAGGATGAGGTTGGTCGTTCCCGAAACCAAATGACTTAAAATGAGGGTGCACACGTAAAACCATTTGTGATCTCATGTTCATAACCATGTTGTGGAATTCTTTATAAACCATTGAGAGTTGTTTATATTTTTTTAGTGAGATAGGCTGTATGTTCTCGCAAGGCCGCGAACTCCTGAGACTAGGTGCTCGATATCAATTACAAGCTTTTGATGGTTAAGACACTACAGGTCGTTCTCAAGTTCTCAACTGCAGTATTGAAAAGTTGGATTTCTATTGGGTCTACGAGATCTTATTTCCATCTATAAATTCAAATCAAAATATGAATGTGTCAAAGGATCGTCCATGTATCTCTATCTCAATTGGTTGTTATATATTTCGTAGAAATAAAAATTAAAGTAATCAAATTCAATTCAAAAAAATAATAACATATGAAAAAAAATAGTTGAACGAATATGCTATAAAGTGCTAAGTGTGATTGTTGATGAATTTTTAAACCTTCTTTTCATATTCTTCACTCATCATATGCGTTTACACAAATGTAAGGTAATAATTGAATAATTCTCTAGGTAGAGTTATAATCAAAATGCCACGTGACATTTTCAACCTGGAATGTCCAATTAACTAGATAGAGGTATCATTACAATACTCATTTGTTTATAAAGACTCTAAGTAAATTTTTCTCCATAAATTATACATGAACTCTATTAAATATTTTGGTAAGCAAATTCATTAATTATTTTATTTTATTTAATTAATAAAAATAATTCTATTTAAAAGTACGTGTTTAATCCAAAAAGACAAAAGGTACTGGAGAAGTAAAATTAAACTAGAACAATGGTGGTGCTGGAGAAGGAAGATGAGGTTGGTTGTTGCCGAAACCAAATGACTTAAAAAGAGGGTGCACAAGTACCACCATGTTGCGATCTCATGTCCATAACCATGTTGTGGAGTTCTTCATAAACCATTGAGTCGTTTATATTTTTTAGTGAGATAGACTATATGTTCTCACAAGGCCGTGAACTCCTAAACTAGGTGCTCGATATCGATTACAAGCTTTTGATGATTGAGACACTATAAGTCGTTCTTAAGTTCTCAATTGTAGTATTGAAAAGTTCGTATACTTATTTCTATTGGGTCTACCAGATGATCTTACTTCCATCTATAAATTCAAATCAAAATCATTGAAAAGTTTGCCCAAAAGTAGTTGTATATGAATTTAGTGGTGTTTGACACTATGATTGGAAAATACTTTTAAAAAATTTTAATTTTGTTTATTTTTTTACTTGAAATTAATATGTTTTTAATGTTTTAAGATCTTTTTTATCAAATCAAAATCCGAATGTGTCAGAGGATGATCTTACTTCCATCTATGATCTTACTTCCATCTATAAATTCAAATCAAAATCCGAATGTGTCAGAGGATCGATAATGTAATGTGTCAAAGGATCGTCCATGTATCTCAACCTCAATTGGTTGTTATATATCTCATAGAAATAAAAACTAAAGTAATCAAATTCAATTTAAAAAAATAATAACATATGAAAAAAAATAGTTGAACGAATATGCTATAAAGTGTGATTGTTGATGAACTTTTATACCTTCTTTTCATATTCTTCACTTATTATATACCTTTACACAAATGTAAGGTAATAGTTGAATAATTCTCTAGATAGAGTTATAATCAAAATGCCACGTGACATTTTCAACCTGGAATGTCCAATTAACTAGATAGAGGTATCATTACAATACTCATTTGTTTATAAAGACTCTAAGTAAATTTTTCTCCATAAATTATACATGAACTCTATTAAATATTTTGGTAAGCAAATTCATTAATTATTTTATTTTATTTAATTAATAAAAATAATTCTATTTAAAAGTACGTGTTTAATCCAAAAAGACAAAAGGTACTGGAGAAGATGCATATAGAAACCCAAAAGTAGTTGTATATGAATTTAGTGGTGTTTGACACTATGATTGGAAAATACTTTTAAAAAATTTTAATTTTGTTTATTTTTTTACTTGAAATTAATATGTTTTTAATGTTTTAAGATCTTTTTTATGTGTTAATATTAAAAAAAAATAAAAAAATAAAAAAATAAAAAAATAATTTTTTAAAAATAAAAATATATATTTTAATGAATTTTGAAATTGAAAGCACTTTAAACTACCTCATTCTCAAACACTTGAATGAGATTTGCATTAGCTTCTTTTGTAGTTCTTACATAAAAAATATATTTACATTAGACAATTCATCTTAACAATAGATGGCAATGCTTTTGAACCTATATTAATGGATGTGTTTAGCAGCTTTAAAATTACTTTTATAAAAAAAAAATTATTGGTTTATCAGGATACTCATCAAGTTAACTATCATAATAAATCAACTCTAATATAATTTAATTTTAAATTTAATTTAGATGATAGGAGATAGATCAAAAGTTTTTAAAATTAAACTATTAAATTAGATTTAATAAAAATATCAAATAATTATTAAATTTTAAAAAAATCGACCTGGAATGTCCAATTAACTAGATAGAGCTATTTAAAAAAATTTAATTTTAATTTTATTTTTTTGCTTGAAATTAATGTGTCTTTGATGTGTTAAGATCTTTTTGATGTGTTAAGATCAAAAATAATTTTTTTAAAATAAAAAAATAATTTTTTAAAATAAAAAAATATATTTTAATGAGTTTTAAAATGAAAAGCATTTTAAACTACCTCATTGTCAAATACTGAATGAGATTTGCATTAGCTTCTTTTGTTGTTCTTACATAAGAAAGATATTTATATTAGACAATCCATCTTAACAATAGATGGCAATGCTTTTTAACTTATAATAATGGATGTGTTCAGTAGCTTTCAAATTACTTTTATGAAAAAAAAATAATTATTGGTTTATGAGGATATGTTTAGACTCATCAAGTTAATTGAATTACAATAAATCAACTCTAATATAATTTAATTTTAAATTTAATTTAGATGGCAGGAGGTAGATAAAAAAAAAATTAAAATTAAACTACTAGATTAAATTTAATAAAAATACCACATAATTATTAAATTTTAAAAAAAATTGATTCAACAACGCATAACCGAAACCAGAATGAAGCTCAAGAAAGACAAGTAACGTTCAAGAACTATGTTTTTTAATATGAAGTGGGAACAACATGGAAGCATTACTTGCTGTTTTTTTAACATTCAAGCATCTGATAATTGCTACAATGAAAATATGAAAAGAAGAATGGGAGAAACAAAACGCCAATCATATTTAGTTACTTACGGTTTCTGCATCCCTTTTGAATTTATTCACAATCAGACAATTTCTAGTGGAATGATTTATTGTCAAATATCAAATTATTATCATGCCAAAAAAAAAATTAAAAAAATAAAAAAGAAATACAAATAATTGACCGAGGCCATATCCTACTAGCACAAAGCTATCATCACCGGATTATGTATAATATTTAAACTTCAAAAAATCCACATTTAATACATGTTTTAGATCTAATGCACGTGAACCATAACTATGCATCAAATCTTTGTAAATATATTAAAATTGTATTTTTTTAATTTATATAAGTTATTATCCTCAATGATCCCAACTAATAAATATCTAAAGAGGCTTCACGTGTATTATGCAAAACCCGACAGAATAATTTCGGTGTCCGAAAAAAAACAAATACACGCGCAACACGTTCTCTATATTAATTTGTTTTTAATGCTAACGTATGGTTTAAAAATGTTAAAGATAAAGTTGTGGTTGAATAAACAATCACGTGCCCATTTTGTTCCCATTAAAATAGTAAAACAACAACCATGCCAGGGTGGTTCCTGTCTCTTTGCTTTTCTTTTCTCTCTCCGAACCTGATTCCTTTCGGTGCTTCGTCCCCACCAATAATTTCTTTCTTATGAAATTATATACGATGGAACTGAGCTCTGTTAGCTTTATATATAATATAATTATAAACATTATTATAAAATTGATAAATATAAATAAAAATATTCATGGAATTTTTTTATTAGTAAATTGTAGTAAATTTTACTGATAAAAATATTCTCTCATATATACCGAAAAATTACAATAAAAAAATTAAAAAAAACAAAAAAATACGATAATATGTCATTTATATCAATAAAATTATAAATTATTTTAATATTATCAATAAAATCCTTTGATAAACTCATTGGTAAATTATTAACTTATTCTTGATACTGTTTATTATGTCAATGACCAATAAAATTACCTATAAAAAATTTCATCGGGTTTTTGTAGAGAATTCTGGAATTGTTCACTTTTTAATTATATTATTAATTATTGTTCTTTAAAGATGAAATCACTGATAAATTAAAAATTCATTGATATTATTTGATAAATTTAAAAAAAATTAATTAATTTAAATATTTAAATTAAATATTATAAATAAATCACTTATAAAAAAAGTTATGGGTGATATTTATTAGTTTAGAATTATATATATTAACAATACTC